CCGTCCTCCGCAGCTGCTCGCACTGGGCTCTCCCCGCTTTGCGCGCGAGTGCAATGGCACAGACGAGTCCCGCCCCCACGCCTCTGCACCAAACGGGCAGGGGCTGCTGCGCAGGATGCGGCAGGAGCAGCTCGCTCGCCTGGAGGGTGTCGGGAAGGGGGCGGAGGGATACGGCGCAGCGGGCTCGACGCCCCCTCCCGGGCCCACCGTAGTTCCGACTCGGGGTGGGCGGGGCCGGAGGCCGCCCGCTCTGCTGCTCGGAGGGAGGGGTGGGCAGCACCCGTGGGCGTCTGCAGACCCCCTGCTCGCCCTAACCAGAGACCACCACCGCTTTTCTGGGGCCACTGCAGTGTGTTTGATGGCTGAGACTCAGGGTCTCTGAGGGCTTTGGGAGGGGAGGACAACAGGGAGAAGAGGGGACTACATGGAAGAAGATTCTAGAGTTTGGAGCAGGAGGGAGCAGCGGATGGATACTGAGTGGGCGCATAGGTACATCTGCACTTCAGAACGAGGCTGGACAGCGCCTGCCCCTCCCTTCACTTCCTCCCTGCTTCCCCCCTCTGCCCCCTCTTATGACGCCAGTGGAAGGGGAGGGGGGCTGTTAACACTGCTGCCTGAGAGGGGACAGGTGACCTAGCAACAGCCAGCCAGTAGGTTCTCCCAGGTTTTCTTTCACTGATTCCATCAACCATGAAGAGGAGGAGGGCACTTCTGAGGTGGGGGCTTCCATTACATCCCCCACCACTGCTTGTATTCTAAAGGGGGGGACAGGCAGAGAGGGAAGGATGGATGGAAAAGGAGAAAGGGAAGGGAGGGAGAGAGAGAGAAAGAGAGAGGGGGGAAAGGGAGACAGAGACACACAGAGAGATTTTCTAATTCTAAGAAATAATACCTTCTGGTTATTTATTGACTGTCCCCACAACTGCCCTTTCCCTGTCAGTATTTGCAAGGTGTCAGAGAGTCCTGCCTTTCAGCTGTCCCAAGGCCAGGTGTTGGGAACCGGTTTGGGCCTGTTCAGTTTCCTTACCAATGGTTCTCTGAAATATCCTCCAGTCATGGCCAAGCTCTCCTATTTGATAATGTTCAAACGCAGGAGAAATTAACTAGCTTGGGTCTCAGCCACATTTACTGCATAGATGAACTGTATGTCTCAGGGAAAGGACCTTCCATGTATCTTTTCCCTTAAAACCCACACCTAGCTGATTTTGAATCTTTCCTTTTGCCCCACCCATGAAATTCCCTCTGCTCTTCATCCTCTCTTTTCTGGGCTGGTTCTGTGAGAGAAACAGCAGTGACATTAAGCACACACTGAAGCTGTTAGCCTTGCCCATTTAAAAATTCATTTACACACCTACCTAGTGTTTAGCAAAAGAACAACTCAGGATATGTGAATGTATGTTATTTGGCCAAAGAGAATTGAAGTTAATGTGGAACTATGATTATTAATTGTGAAATTTAACACACAAGTATGCTGGATTATTTTACCCAATATAACTGCAAGAGTGTTTAGGTGTGGTATAATGTTCTGTGGTTTGAAGAAAGCAGCACAGGGAAGAAAAGTTGGAAAGTCCACTGGTAAAGCTTTGAGGATAGAAGCAATACGGGAGCCATAGAATACAGAAAAGTAAAGAAGATTCTCCCATAGTAAATGTTATCAGAACACCTTTGCATTACTGTCACCTTTTAAAATAATTTCTAGCCAGCTGGGTGTTAGTGGCACATGACTTTAATCCCAGCACTCAGAGGCAGAGGCAGTCTGATATCTTCGAGTTTGAGGCCAGCCTGGTTCACAAGAGCTAGTTCCAGGACAGCCTCCAAAGCCACAGAGAAACCCTGTCTCAAACCCCCCAAAATAATTTCTAACCTCCATAGCTGTAAAATAATAGATATGCATTATCTGAAGGTACTACATTTGTTGTTTGCTTTTACATTTGTTGGTTGTCTCCTGTACCAATGTGTTCAAGGCTATTCCAAATTTCTCTTCAGCGTGTCTGATTTTTTCAATTATTTTATTTATAAATTTTATTTAAATTAGAAACAATCTTATTTTACATATCAATCCCAGTTTCCTCTCCCTCCCCTCCTCCCTTGCCCATCGACTCCCATCCCATCCCCCATCACTCCCCAGGGAGGGTGAGGCCTTCCATGAGAGATCATCAAAATCTCTCAAGTCATTTGGGGAAGGGCCTAGGCCCTCCCCTGTGTATCTAGGCTGAGAGAGTATCCCTCTGTGGGAAATGGGCTCCCGAAGTCCATTCGTGCACTAGGGATACATCCTGGTTCCACTGCCAGAGGCCCCATAGAGTGCCCAGTGCTCCTAGCTGGCACCCGGGGGCCTGGTTTGGTCCTATGTTGGTTCCCCAGCTGTCAGACTGGGGGCCATGAGTTCCCACTTGCTCAGGTCAGCTGTTCCTGTGGGTTTTCCCAGCGTGGTCTTGACCCCTTTGTTAGTCACTCCTCCCTCTCTGCAACTGGACTCCAGGAGTTTGGCTCAGTGCTTAGGTGTGGATCTCTGTTTCTGCTTCCATCAGCTACTGGATGAAGGCTCTAGGATGGCATATAAGGTAGTCATCAATCTCATTATAGGGGAAGGGCATTTAAGGTAGCCTCTACACTATTGCTTAGATTGTTAGTTGGGGTCATCCTCTAGATCCCTTGAGATTTCCCTGTGCCAGATTTCTCATGAAACCCACAATGACTCCGTTTATTAAGGTATCTCTTTTCTTGCTCTCCTCTGTTCTTCCCCCAACTCGAACATCCTGATCCCTCATGTACTCCTCCCCCCTACCCTTCTCCTCTTCTCTTTCTCCTAGCTCCCTCTCCCCAATCCCCATGCTCCCAATTTGCTCAGGAGATCTTGTCTCTTTCCCCTTCTTCGGGGGACCATGTATGTCTCTCTTAGAGTCCTACTTGTTTCCTTGCTTCTCTGGAGTTGTGGATTGTAGGCTGGT